GGGTGGGTCCCACGGACGGCTCCAGTGGCAAAGTCCGCATGGCGTCGCCCCGCCCAATGTGGGCGTACCCCTCACATGTTTTGTGGCCCCACAGGGAGCTGCGGTAGGTTCGCGTTGTGTCGACTGGCGGTGACCCGGCAGCTGGCGATCAAAGTGGAACGCCGCCGGCGACCCAGAATCGGTCGATGTCGAACGATCTGACGTTTCGGAAACGGCCGATCGTTCAAGGCTGAACGATCCCCGCGGTGTCAGGAGCCAGCGCCGGGGCCGATATGACACGAGCCCGTGGTACAGTGGCAGAGCCCGCGTAGCGCCCTCCCCGCGCACTGGTAGCACACCCCTCGCACGTTTCGCGCCCCACGGGGAGCTCGGCATTCCTTTGCGCGCTTGCCCCCGCAGCCCCCAACGGCAGGCTCGCGTCGTGTCGTCGCTGCGGCAACCCCGCCGCTGGCGTTCAAGATTGGACGCCGCCAGTGGCTCAGAATCGGCCAAGATTGAGCGATTTGGCGATCGAGAAGCCGCCGATCGTTCAAGGTTGAACGATCCACGCGGTGTCAGAAGCCAGCGCTGGTCTTATCCACGCTGCCTTGCTGCGCGAAGTATATGAGGAGAGGCCACGGTCTGCGCTACACGCCTCTGCGCATAGGATTGGGCTCGTCGCCAGACCAGTTTTTTACACGCGAGCTTGTGAACAGCCGGGAAAGGCCTTGCGAAGCAGATCTCGCAAGGCCCCCCGCCCCGCTTCCGCCCCGTCCCAGCCCTGATCCTCGAGTGAGCTCCTGGGGCCCGTGAGCCCGCTGAGACTGGAAGAAACAGAAGTGCGACTTGGTGGCAAGCCCAGGGGAGAAGTGAGAGGGGGCAGACATGGGCAGACTTTCTCAGAAGGCGGCGGTTCTCGTTAGAAGCCCTCGCGCCTCCCGAGAAGTTTTTTCCGTGGCTTCGGCGACGGCTTAGACGATTTCGCAGAAGGTGCGGGGGCTTCTGTGAAGCCCCGACGCCTTCTGAGAAGGCATGCCCCCTCTGATGATGATGATGATGCTGCTGCTGCTAATGATGCTGATGATGATGACGACGACGATGATGATGCTGATGATGATGACGATGCCGATGACGATGACGATGATGATGATGATGATGATGATGGTGGTGGTGGTGATGATGATGATGATGATCATGATGCTGATGAGGATGAGGATGAGGATGAGGATGAGGATGAGGATGAGGATGCTGATGATGATGATGATGATGATGATGATGATGATGATGGTGGTGGTGGTGGTGGTGATGGTGATGATGATGATGATGATGGTGGTGGTGGTGATGGTGATGATGATGATGATGATGATGATGATGATGATGATGATGATGATGATGATGATGATGATGATGATGATGATGATGATGATAGGGGGAGGAGGAGGATGAGGAGGAGGAGGAGGAGAAGGAGGAGGGGGAGGAGGAGGATCACTTCCCCCTTGAGCTCGCCGCCAACACAAGAGCACAAATTCTCGGAGGCCGGCATGGACTTCTGGGCCCGGCGCTGGGCCGCCCGAGGCCCCAGGCACGCGAAGAGCGCCTGCGGCGTCGCCGGAGGCGCTGTCAGGGGGTTGGCTGTCGCAGGTCCACCTCCGAAAGTTCTTATCACAGGTTTTTGCTCCCCCGGACCCTCCCTGAAACCTTCCTTCTCTTCGTCTCCTCCTCCTCCTCCTCCTCCTCCTCCTCCTCCTCCTCCTCCTGGAACACCTGGGACCCCCGCCCCGAAAGCCTTCCTCTTCCGCTTCCTCAAGCGTCGAACGCCCGACCCCTCCTTGGGTGCTCCTTGGCTGGAAGTTCGAGGCGCATCTTGCCGTGGCGACTCGGAGCCTCCGGGAGGCCCAGAGACGGCGGGGGAAATCCGCCCCAAAACCGTGGGTCACCGTCGAGGAAGCGCAACCATGGATGTCAGGCGCGTGGATCAGCAACGGGCCCCGCCTCCGTGCAGACTCCACACTCCTCTCCGCCGCCACATGCCGGGCGGCACTGGCTGCATGTCTCGGCAGGGGGGGTTCTTTCCCCAGTCCGTGGATCCGGCGTTCAGGCGCCAGATCCACCCGGGGGCCCCTGAACGGTGTCGTGACCACACCGTGTTGTGAGTCGGTAGGGGTTCGGGGTCACCGCACGGTTTTGGGGCTTGGGTCGCTTTCTGAGGATGTCTCCAACGGCTGGGGCCTCCGAGGTCCCAAAACCGTGTGGCAACGGACCCTGCGGTGAGGCTATTCGGGATTCTGGGGTCAGCGCACGGCCTGCCACCGTACGGTTTTGGGACCCCCAGATCCCGGATCAGTGTTCTGGGTTTCTTAATAAGCGTGGGGGGGTACCCCCCCGACGGGGGTCAACCTCGCCTCGTCGTCGCGCTGCGACGGGGGTCGGAGCGCCTTCGGCGCGCGGTGGCTGCCCGCGACGGGGGTCGATGTGGCGCTGTCGGCGGGGGTGATGCCCCCCACCCCACGCTTCTCAAGAAACTCGGAGTAGCCATGTTGTCTTGCGCCCGACACCCTCAGGGGCGCGAACGCCACCGCGCTTCGCGTGCCGCGGGCCAAGGCCCGGCGCGCTGCCCTCCTCGAGGGCGGCGCTTCGCGCGGGTGCGATGAGGAGCGCGTTCCTCGCGCATCGCTGGGCGCGGTGCGCGAAGTTGGCGAGATGACCTAGAAACTTGGAACCAGCTGGGGGTCGGAGGTGGCCCAGCATCGATTCTGGCCAGCAGAAAGGGGGGAGAACAGGGCTCCTCGCCACAGCTGGACGCGGCTCGAAGAACTGGTGGGTTTCGACCCCAGGAGGTGTCCAGGGACAAGTTTTCAGCGGACTTGCTTTCGTCCCCCCTATTGATAAATTTTCTTGGAGCCCATCCAGCTCAGACACCCCAGCCGCCTCCATCCTAGAAGCCTTTGAACCTAAAGTGCACCGACTGTCTCAAAGCAACGTGTAGCCCAGGTCGCGCTGTCGATCCGTGTTTTTCCCCACATCCAACGTTGGATTCTTGTTTTCTCTGCCCACCTCCGCGCAGGATATCTCCTCACCCCTCTCTTCCTTCTTTTCACCATCACCTTCAAATCCATCACAGTCATCATCATCATCATCATCATCATCATCATCACACTCACCATCATCATCACTACCACAATTCCATCAGGATCATCAACCATCATCACCACCATCATCATCATCATCGTCGTCATCATCATCATCACCATAACCATCACCATCACCATCACGATCATCATCAGCATCATCATCAGCATCATCATTATCATCATCATCATTCGCATCGCTACCACCACCACCGCCACCACCACCACCATCATCATCATCATCATCATCATCATCATCATCATCATCATCATCATCATAGTCATCATCGTCATCATCAGCATCAGTATCGTCACCATCATCATCATTATCATCATCATCGCCATCATCATACTCATCATCAGCATTCTCATCAGCATCATCTTTATCATCATCAGCATCATCACCACCATCTCCATCACCATCGCCATCACCACCATCACCATCACCATCACTATCACCATCACCATCACCATCACCACCACCATCACCATCACCATCACCATCACCATCACCATCACCATCACCATACTAATCATCATCATCATCATCATCATCATCATCATCATCACCACCACCATCATCATCATCATCATCAGCAGCATCATCATGATCGTCGTCACCATCATCATCAGCATCATCATTATCATCATCATTCGCATCGCTACCACCATCATTATCATCATCATCATCATCATCATCATCATCATCATCATCATCATCATCATCATCAGAGTCATCATCGTCATCATCAGCACCAGTACCGTCACCATCCTATTCATCAGCATAATCTTTATCATATTCATCATCCTCACCGATCATCATGACCATTACCGTCATCGTCATCATCGGCATCATCATGAGTATCATCATCGTCAACGTCAGTATCGCCACCATCATCAGCATCAGTACTATCAGGTTCCCTCATCATCATCGTCACCATCATCATCAGTCTCATCATCATCATCATCCTCATCAGCATCATCACTATCGACAACATCATCATCATCATCATCATCATCGCCTCCAGCAGCATCATCAGCAGCATCATCACCATCTTCATCAGTATCGTCTTCGTCATCGATATCATTATCACTATCGTTATCGTCGTCATCATTATCAGTATAAGCATCGCTAGCAGTATCATCATCAATCCATCATCATCATCATCATCATCATCATGATCTCCCAAACCACCAGCACCACCATCATCATCATCACCATCATCATAATCATCAGCATCATCGTCATCGTCATCGTCATCGTCATCATCACCATCAACATCAGTGTCATCATCATGCACCAGAGGCCCCCGGCAACCTCTCAGATGTCCCCAGGAGCTTTATAGAGGCCGCAAGGCCGCAAGAAGCTCCCCAGTGGCCCCAAGAAGCTCTTCAGCCGCCTCATGGCGCTCTTGAGCCTCCCCAGAAGATCTTCAGCCACCCAGCAAGATTTCCATATACCCGAATTCTCGTCATACGTTTTTTTGTGTAAAGCATCTTATTGTTTTATTTCAGCTATGAGGAGGGGGGGTCTGGACCTCTTCCTGGAGGCCAGCCCCCCAAGAACGATCTTCAGATGCCCTAAGAGGCTCGTCGTACGTTTTTTTAACGGATCCGAGAGGGGTGGGTCTCTCCCTGGAGGCTACCCCGCCCCTCTGCCGCACTCGAGGATTTATAGGGTCTTGAGCACCCCTGGCCATGCAAACACCCAATGGGCCACACAAACACACAACGGGCAACACAAACACCTTCTCTCGCAGCCAGGGGCCGCCTTGCGGACCTGCGTCGCCGATCCTTGATTCTTCGAGTAGGGGATCGACTACAGAATCCATTCACCCCCCTGCTCGCACCCCCTGCGCTCCCCCTCGCGCTCCCCGCCTCCCTGCGCCGAAGGCGGCACGGGAAGGGCACGTGCTTCTTCAAGACCGGGGAGTTCTACCAGGGCTCTTGGGAGTGCCCTCGCCGCTCCCGCTCTCCAGCAGCGCCTCTCCGTCCTCCTCGTGATGGGCCGGTTTTCCACCACCACTGCCATAGGTAGGAGAGGGAGGGAGAGGAGGAGGAGGAGGAGGAGGAGGAGGAGGAGGAGGAGGAGGAGGAGGAGGAAGAGGAGGAGGAGGAGGAGGAGGAGGAGGAGGAGGAGGAGGAGAGGAGGGGAGGAGGAGGGGGAGGCGGAGGAGGCGGAGGAGGCGGAGGCGGAGGAGGCGGAGGAGGCGGAGGAGGCGGAGGAGGCGGAGGAGGAGGAGGAGGAGGAGGAGGAGGAGGAACTCACCATCCTCCCTTTTCCCCCGTCCTATCTATGGTAGTGGTGGTGGAGAATTCGCCCGTCCTTCTCGTACTCCTCGGCCTTGTCCTCTGCGTCCTCGCCGCCGTCCTGCTGCTGCGCAACGCTGGAGAGCGGCGATCCCTTGACTCCGACCCGCGCGCGCGTCCGCGCGGCCCGCACGCTGCCCGCGGAGCCACCGAGCCCACGCCTCAGGTCGGACCCTCTGCGGAGGCGGGCAGGAGGCAGGCAGATCTACCATACTCGGGAGCAGCGGAGAGTAAGGTGACGGCCAGGGGGGGGAGGATATCATTGCGTGGGCCATGACACCTCCCCAGATTTCATGGCGCCTCTCCTCGTTTCAGCACGTCCCCTGGCCCTCCCCCCCTGGTCCGCGCACGTGCCTCGGGCCATGATTTGTGCACCCCCCTCTTGGACGCCCCCCTCTTGGACGCCCCCGTCATACACTGATCTTTGCAATACGGAGGGAAAAGGAGAGGGGAACAGTGAGATGAGGCGTTCTAGTTCTAGCCGTGCTGGTAGCTCGCTTGGGTCTGGTCGCGGGGCCCTGGTACCCAGCGCCCCAGGGGAGGGGACCGAGGGCCCCCTTCCCCAGGACCCCGAGGGCACGTCTCCGAACATCGCCTGCGCAAGGAGGCAGAGAAAAGGGCGCACTGTTCGTCCCAGCGGCCCTCTCAGGTTCACGTAATCGTCCGGCTTCAGGCTGGCTGGTCTCGCCTTCTACATGAGCTCGGCTTCTAGGGGCGCCCCAGAAGCGTCGCTGGCCAGGTCATAGTACTCTGCCTGGGCCTTCCAGATGTCTTCATTCGGGTAGGCACTGCCGTCCTCACCGCCATCTGAGCACTCGTGGCTCCTGGTTGGTGCGTTCTCCTGCTGTCGTAGCAGTTCTGCGGCGGAGCAAGGTTTGGGCCGCTGGCCCAGAAGCAGGGCTGGACCTGAACGCTGTTTTGCTGGACTTTGGCTGTGTGCCGTTTTTCGTTTTGGCAGGGAGGCACAGGAAAACAGGTCGAGCAGAACGGAACACACAGCGAAAACAAAACGGAAAACAATGTTTAGGTCCAGCCCTGCCCAGAAACATCTGGACTGGTCCCGGGCGGACAGGAGCGCATCGGTGGCTCCGGAAGGGTCCAGCGCGCGGACCATCGATCTCGTCCCTGTCCTCGCAGTGACCGCCAGCGCGCACGTGTACGGGTACCGTCGTGTCGTGGGGCTTGCGCTGAGGGGGCTCGTGAGCTTCGCGATGGCCCTGTTGGCGAAGTCCTCCGTGATAGGCCCGCCCTCGTCTGTCACAGTCCGGAGGCCGTCCAAACCCTCCGATGCGGCGTGCATGATGATGGGCTTGCTCTGCTCTTCGCTCTCCTCGTCCTCCTCGCGAGTCCAGCCTGCGAGGCTCAGCCTGTTGCCCTCGTAGCTCAGCAGCTGTTCCTCGAGGCTGTAGCGGTGGCTATCCAGGCTCTGGCCGTGGCCCTTGCAGTTCCGCTGGTGGCGCTGGCAGCTCTGCTGGAGGCTGTCGCAGCTCTGCTCGTGTCCCGCGCAGCTCAGCTTGCGGCCGTCGTCGTAGCTCGGCTGCGGGCCCTCGTACCCTGAACCACCATGCCGTTCTAGTGCACGGACCCCCTGGAACGGGCAAGACCACTTTCTCAGTTGCCTGCCTGGACATGCGGGGCTCCTGCCTAGCTCAGCCGGTGGCTCTCGTAGCCCTGCTTGTGGCCCTCGTGGGCTCTGCTCGCGGCCCTCGCAGCCCAGCTTGTTGCCCTCGCAGGTGGTCCTCGTAGCCGTGGCGGTGGCTCCCCGAGGCTCTGCTCGTGGCGCTTGTACTTGAGGCTCGTGGCGCTGGCAGCTCTGCTGGAGGCTCTCGCAGCTCTGGTCGTGTCCCACGTAACTCAGCTTGTGGCCTTCGTAGCTCAACCGGCGGCCCTCGTAGTTCAGCTGAGGTTCTCGTAGCCCTGCTTGTGGCCCTGGAAGCTCGTCTTGCGGTCCTCGTAGCTCAGCTTGTGGCCCTTGAAGCTCTTCCGGTGGCCCTCGTAGCTAAGCAGGTGGCTCTGGTAGCTCAGCTGGTGGCTGTCGTAGTTTCGCCTGTGGCCCTCGTAGCTCACCTTGTGGTCCCCGTGGCTCAGCTGGTGGCTCTTGAAGCTCAGCTGGTGGCCATCGAGGTCTGCGCGTTGCCCAGGAAGTTCGGCGCATGGCCATCCCAGCTCTGCTGGTGGCCCGTGCAATTCTGCAGGAGGCCCACGTGGCTCTGCTCGTCCTGCTTGTGGCCTCTGTGGCTCTGCTGGAGGCTCCCGTAGCCCTGCCGGTGGTTACTGGAGCTCCGCAGGTGGGCCTTGTGGCGTGTGACCTTTGAAGTTCTGTCAGTGGCACTCGGAGCTCTGCCAGTGCTCTGGTAGCCCAGAGCCTTGGTAGCACAGCGCCTTCTTGTAGCTCCCTCTCCGCCTCGAGGTTGTCGCCAACCCAATTGCGGGGCAACCAGTCCAGCCCTTCCTCGCCTGCGATGTAGACGCCCTGGAGGCAGCTGTGGCTGTTGTCGCCGTAGCCCAAGTAGCCGTCGTAGTTCACGGGGCCCTAGTCCTGGGGTCCGGCGTAGCTCAGGTGGCCACCGTAGCTCTACATTTCTTAGAAGGCTGGACGACTTCCGAGCCTTCTGAGAAGGCCTGCCCCTTCTCATTTCCCAGGCGCGCCGCCGATTGAAGGCAACAGTTTTTTCATTGAAGGCAAGCTGAAAACACGTTTTTCCCACCCCTGACCACCGAAGGCAGAAAATGCCTTCAGCGAGCGCCGAAAAGGGCCGTCGGTAAATTTTCGGAGCTCCGCGCTGATCTCTTGGATCGGCGCTGGATCCCCATGGCGCGGGACTCTGGCGCCGCCCCTGGCGCACTGAGCCCAGCGCCGATTCAAGAAGCCCGTGCGGACCTCCGCGAGTTTGTGCGTATACCGCTTGCTGTCCCTCTGCGAAGGCGGCGGAGTGGGCGCGTCGGGGGGGAGGAAAGCACTGTGCGGTAGGTCTATGTCGTGTCGGCGCGGCGGCGACCCCAGTGCGGGCGCTCAGGGCTGGACGCCAGCGGCGGCCTGGAAGCGGTCAGTGTGGAGCGGTATGGCGATCGAAAGGCCACCGATCTTTCAAGGCCGAACTCCACGCCGTGTCGGCAGTCAGCGCCAGGGCCACGGCACGTACCTGCCGTAGACAAGGCAGGCCAGCGGTGACTCCTCTGTGGCCGCCCTTGCTCAGTCTCGGGGGCGGCCAACAGGGCCATAATGACTAGGGTGTGGGTATATCTCTAGGCCTCCCAGGTGGGGTCCGAGTAGAGACGGTCGGAGGATATCGGATTATCGCGCCGCATCGCCGATGCATCGGCGGTACGGCTCGATGTGGAGCCCGATTTTCTCCACGTCGACGGCGCCGATGTTTCGGCGATGCGGCGGGATCCTCCGACCCTATCTGCTCGGACCCCATCTCGGATGCCTCTAATGTCATCGCCCAGGCCATGAGATCTCTTGGATTGCGAAGGCCTTACGGCCGGTGCCGCCGATCCCCAATGGCGACGACGACGACGACGACGACGACGACGACGACAACGACGACGACGACGACGACGACGACGACGAGCGCTCTTGGGGGCCTCTTGGGGGTAGTTTGTGGGCCTCTTGGGAAGCTCTGAGGGGCCGCTTGGAAGCCTCGTGGGGGCCTCTTGGGGCTTCCTGGGGGTCGCTTGGAGGGGTCCTGGGACGTCTTGGAGGCTTCTTGGACGGTCTTGGGGCTATCTTGGGCGTTTTCGGCTGATTTTTGGGCGACTCGGGGCCCTCTTGGGCTGTCTCGGGGGCCATCTGGGGCATTCTGACCTCATTTGGAGTGTTTTCAAGGTTTCTAGGCCGCCCGAGGAAACACGAATCTGCCCCCCCCACCCCCCCCATTCAAACCCCCTCCTCCTCCTCCTCCTCCTCCTCCTCCTCCTCCTCCTCCTCCTCCTCCTCCTCGGTTCGGTTTGGTAGCCTCGGAAACTGTTTCGGAAACCGTTTCGGAACAATTTCAGAATCTATTTCGGAGGCTATTTCGGAAGCTGTTTCGGAGACTGTCTCGGAGGCTGTTTCGGAAACTGTTTCGGAGCCGTTTTGGAACTAATTCGGAATCGCTTCGGAGGCTGTTTGGAAACCGTTTCGGATGCCGTTTCGGAGCTGTTTCGGAACTGTTTCGGAAATGTTTCGCAGCGGTTTCGGAATATCTTTCGGAGCCGGTTTCGGAAGCTGTTTGGGAGGCTGCTTTGCAGTCGTTTCGGTTTGGGGCCTCTTGGGGGCCTCTTGGCGGGTCGTTTGGGGGCCTCTTGGGCTCTTGGGGGCTTCTTGGGTCGTTTTGAAGCCTCTTGAGGGCCTGAATGAGGAGGGGAGAGAAAAGGAGGAGAGGAGAGAAAAGGAGGCGAGGAGAGAAAAGGAGGAGAGGAGCAGAAATGAGGAGAGAGAAAAGGAGGAGAGGAGAGAAAAGGAGGAGAGGAGAGAAGAGGATGAGAGAGAAAAATAGGAGAGGAGAGAAAAGGATGAGAGGAGAGAAACGGAGGAGAGAAGAGAAAAGGAAGAAAGGAGAGAAAGGAAGAGACTGAAATCCGGAGGTTGGATCGGTAACCTCTGGAGGTTACCGATCTGGACCTCCGGATTCCACTGGTTTTCCTCCTGGGGCATCC